AAATTATTCACTAATATTTTCTCCAAATTAATATTTTTAACAATTACTTTCAAAATGCAATCCTTACAAAACAAATTTCACTTAAAAATTATAAGAAATTCAATTATTAACTATAATAATCTTTGAATTCATTCCTTCATTCCGTCCATTCATTCATTCCGTCCGGACCCCTGCTGGGTTTTCGGTGACAGAGAAAAGAACAAGTTATGGAGAGAGAAAGATATATCTTTATTTTGCAAATGAGGGTTCACTTGACCTGCAATCTTTTAAAGAGGATTAATTAATAACTCTGAGGACCCAGGTAATAATTTCTTTCTGTCTTTATCACGTAAAAAAACTATAAAGAAAGTCTAAAACTAAATAGGTAACGCATACCTTTCTTTCTTACACCAAGGAATATAACATAAGTACTTCTTCGTTTAACATTGCGTTTCTCTATCTAGACAATTCAAAATGGCATAAGAATATCTTCGTCTAAAATCTTAATCTTCTTCCTTTTTGTTTTGAAAATAAAAATAAATATATATCTATATATATATATATATGTGTGTGCATACCTGTATTAGAGTCCCTGAAAATTTTAATAAAAAAATTTAAAAATTATTACCTAAGTTCTCAGAGTTAATTCTTATCAACAAAGGTTCTATTGTCTAAGGGTATTTTTCCATGTAATAAATGGGAGAAAAGAAATTATTACCTGGGTCCTCAGAGTTAATTCTCATTGATTATTTAACAAAGGTTCTATTGTCCAAGGGTTGGTTTTTTGTGGTAATTAATCCGGGGTTTTAATACAAGTGTATATATATGTATATATGGTATCTGTAATGAACTACTGATTAATCATATAAGAGTGTCCTTTTGCACTTATTGGCTGATCAGTAGTTACTCATTCATAGTTCTCTCATTCTATTGGATATTGGTAGTTGTATTGGATAAAAGGCAAAATTTGTTATATTGAATTAAAGGCAAAATTGGTTATATTTAATAAATGGCAAAATTTGTTATATTGGAGAGAGTGAGCGAGAGGATTAAAGATATTTAGATTTTCATGAATCAAAAATAAAATTAAACGAAGTATACTATGGCCAACATAAAAGAGTATGTTATTTTGAGTGATGAAGATTTAAAAATTGTTAAAAATAGAAATAAATTGTTAAATGACATGCATATGTACAAATTTGAAGATTTATTAAAAAAAGATTCCAATTCTTTTTTCAATATGCAAAGTACTTATACTTTTATAGCTTTAATGAGGGATGTTTAAATGTGCATCAAATGAAATATTTAATTAGATTGTTCCCTTTTAAACCAACAGTAGTTTTTGTAGTTGTTGATCAACAACCTTTTGGTAGTGTTGAGTGTGGAGTATATGCAATAGCATTTGCAACATCTATATTTTTTAACGTAATGTCAAACAGCGTAAATTATGAAACTGATAATAACAGAATGAGAAACCATTTAAAGTCAATGTTTGAAAATAATCGCTTAAATCATTTTCCGTCAATAAGAACGTCTCACAATAGGAATTCGATAATAGAGAATGATTGGAACCGTCTTTTCATAAATCGAGCTCAGGAACTTAAAAATAATATTTTGAACCCTTGTTCTGTTTTAATACTTTTCCCAGAAATAATATTAACAGAGTTCTATTAACACAATATTTAGAAATTAAACATTCTCTAAATGACACTAGTGAAGAGAAAATAATTCGTACAACTAATAATAATATGAACAAAATTTCACCACTTGAATATTCAGAAATGAAGTATTTTCTGAGTGAAGAAATTGATAAAAAGATAATTCTAGGAATTAAAGAAAAGGGAAGGCAACGCGCGAAGTTACATATGAACAGAAAATAATTAGACAAGAGAATGGTAGATTGAGAAAACGTAATCGTAATGAAACAGAAACAGAAATACAAAAGAAAGAGCGCAAAAAAAATTTGACATGCAAAAAAAGAAATTATCTATAGAAACTAAAGATGAAAAGAAAATACACAAGGATAAAAATTTGGCATGTAGGAAAGAAAAATATCAATGGAAACTCAAGATGAAAAGAAAGTGCGTCAAGAAAATAATTTGTCATGTAAGAAGAACAAATTTTCTACGGAAACGGAAGATGAAAAGAAAGTGCGTCAAGAAAAGAATTTGGCATGTGAAAACGATAACCGAAATAAAAAAGTGTAGGAGATGCAATAATGTCTTAAAGTTTTCAATGAAAGTAAGGTTCCACAGAATTATTTAGGTTTGATGAATGTAGAATGTAAGTTTTGTTATGCGTTACATTTTCTGTGTGAGAGACCGTCACATAGATTATTTAGTAGTTGCTGTCATAAGGGAAAAGTAAAGTTAAGCGCCCAAGTAGTACGGAATATTGGTTGAATCTAACATTGATATCAAGTGGGAATATTCCTGTGACATTCAGGCGATATCATAATGTCTTCACGGGGACATTCCTCGGTGATATTCACGTGTGATTCGTATGATATTGAGGGAATATTCCCGTGAAATTTGTGTGATATTGAGTGAATTATTCCTCTGATATTGAGGGAATATTCCAGTGATATTAATAAGATAATTTATAAAATTCTAACAAAATTTCAATTTATTTTCATTGATTTATTTGTTTAATTAAATATTCAAAATAAACAACATTTTAGAATTTTCTAAATTACAGGAATATTGTCTCAATATCACAGGGATATTCCCTTAATATCCCAGGAATATTTTCTTAATATTGCGTGAATTTCACGGGAATATTCCCTCAGTACCATACAAATATCACGCGAATTTCACAAGAATATCACCGTAGAATGTCCCCATGAAGCGGACATTATGATATCGCCTGAATGTCACAAAAATATTCCCGCTTGATATCTCCTTGACATTCAAGCAATATTCCGTGCTCCTTGGATGGTAGATTTAATATGAAGAAATTTTTTTTAAATTTCTAATATTAAATTTTTTGAAAAAAAAGAAGTGAATAAAGATATGGTTAATGCACACGAGCAACGTAGTCGGCCGCTTGCGGACGACAAAGTTGCTAGTTAATTTAATAAAGAACGAGTCATTTAGAAAGTTTTCGAAATTCAGAAATGTTGAAACTTTTTACTTAACTATTTCATGATAATAATTATTTCATTAATTTTTATAAATTTTAACTCATTAAAATTAGTTGAAATTATTAACTTCATAAAAAAATCTTTTTAAGTTTGACATTTATTGAATTTTGAATTCAAATTATCTTAAATTAATTGAATAGTAGAAGTAAAAAGTAAATTAATAATTGAATTTAAGAGAATTTCCAATTGAAATTATTTTAGTAATTCAATTTTTGAAGTTTTATATGAATAATTGAATTTTAGAAAGTTTTAAATTGAAATGTTTTAGAAATAATTTAATTTTCAAAATATACTTCGAATTTTTAGTAAAATTTGTAAATAAAAATTCTGAAATGCAATTATTAATTCAATAAATGATAGTTATTTTTGGATGTTTTCAATTTTCAATTAAATTACTTTGAAAATTTAATTATTTAAAATTAGTAATTTATGTAAAAAAAAATTATTTACTACCTAAGTAGTAATTTAATAGTAATTTATTTATTAAGATTTGAAAAAACAATTAAAATTTTTTTTCTGAAATGCAATGTGAGTAAAACAAGTTTTTTCTTATCTTACAAACGATCCTAAGGCCTGCTCTTGTCATTTTTTTTATTAGTGTTGGAGAAAAAAATTTAAATTCTGTCTGGTTATCAGAGAAAAGTCCAGGGAATAAAATCAAAATTTTTGTGGCAACATTAGTAGCGGAGGAAGGTTTGAAAAGTTTGAAAAAAGTCGAATTTTTGGAAATTAATTTATTAATTAATTAAAATTTATTTTCTTTTTCCAAAATACACATAATTTATATTTGGTTATAAGTTTTGAAATTCGTTATTAAATAAAACAATAAGTCAATTATTTATCAGCGATTAGAATTATTTCATCTCGATCAACAAATCCGCTAAAATTTTATCTTACAAGAAAACAAAAATAACGTATTCTTTTATAAATAAAAAGTACGTTTATACGTTTACCAAAAATAATATTGCTTTTCTTTTTTTATAAATTATTCGTCGATGGAAACAAAATGTACATGTAAATCGTATTTTAATTTTTAATTCAAGCAAGAACATTAGAAATTAATTAAATCTATTTTCTATCGAATCTAAAGAAACACAGGATCGGTATCAATAAATTTTTAAGATATTGAGCGGCGTGAAATTTATGAATACCGTAGCCATTTATGTATGTGTATGAAAATTATTCAATAAATTTTTCACGGGTGTCGATAATACAGAATTATTTACAATTTTAAATATTAGTTAACAAATAATTAATTCACCCTGAATTCGTCAATGATTTCTAAGTAGGCGTGGATAAAACAGACTTAAACAAGGAGGGGGTCCTTTATGTTTATTTCATAAACATTATGCTTCCTCATTGTGTGAAGCAAAAAATTCGCTTCCTCGTGAAGGAAGCAATGAATTTGTCCAATTCAATTGATTGATTTAAAAAATTTCGAGTTAAAAATGTTTTAAATTAATTAAATTTTTTGAAAAATAAAGAAAATTTTAATTAATTTTGAGTGAACATAAACTTTATATATACGAATCGATTCGTTTTAATGCAAGGAATACAATTATTTTATTCATCAACTTGAATTTAAAAAAAACACAAAATTTTTTAGCTAAAATATGAATTTTCGATTTTTCAATTTTTATTAATTCTCAAATTTTAAATCAAATCTATACTTTATATATACCAACCAATTCGTTTCAATGCAGGGTATAAAATTATTTCATATATAAACATGAATTTAAATAAACACATCATTTTTTAGCTAAAATGAGAATTTTTGATTTTTTAACTTTCTTTAATTCTTTAAATTTCAATCAAATCTATACTTTATATATATCAATCGATTCATCTTGACATAAAGAAGACGATTATATTATATATTACCTTAAATTTTTCGATTTAAAAAATTTTTCAATTAAAAAAAAATTTTTGGAAAAAAGACGATAAAATTTTTTTTTTTTGGGTATTTTTAAAAATCCTTTCGTCATTTTTGAGAGATTAATGTGTTAAATAAGCCTACCAAATTTTATCCAAATCCATTAAAACCTGTTAAGGATATCGTGTTCACAAAAACGATGCACACACACATACACACACACACACACATACACACACATACATACATCCGGACAATTGATCAGGATCTCATATAACATGTTTCTATATAGAGGAAAATTTGTTTTCACCATTTTTAAAAAGTTTATAAACGAAAGGACTACATAGCTTCCTCCACGAGGAAGCAAAAAACAATTATTTTTTCGATGTCTAAATCGACAAGGGCAAATATGAAGTAAAGTTTTCTTTTTTTTAATATTGAACGTAAACTCAGAAGAAAAAAAGAGAAGTTCATTAAAGTCTGAATCAGAAAAAGCCAAGACAACGAATAATGATTAAAAAAAATGCATTCAATATTACTGCGAGAGTCCAGCTGCAGTTGAAGGATTAAGGTATATTCTGAAGATTAATACCGGTCGATCAATAGTTTGTGAAATGTGTCATGAATAGTGCGATGAGTTGTCTATTTTTCTGCGACCGATTTATCAGTCGTGAGCATCTCCGTCTCTTATATAAATAGTTCTCGTTAGTGAAAGAGTCCAAAAATGGATCAGCTAACTTTTACTGACAGCAGAGTCTTGCTGAAAGTGAGATAAATTAAAAAGAGAACGGTATTCGTACCGTGGAATGTTATTGCTGTTATCCGTTACGACATGCGAGACGAAAAAAAAATACTCTCAATTTTACCTTGTTATTTTAAAAATTGACGAAAAGGATAAATCTTCAAAATTGTGGCACAAAACTTGAAAAATTGATTGTATGAGAGGGCCCACGCTACTGTTTTCCAATCATCGAGCGCATATTATCGATGGGATTAGATTTTTCACTGCCTTTCATCGACAACCTATTAGATTTCATTTTCTTCTCTTCGACGTTTAATTTAGTTTCTCATCGGGAAATCTCATCGGGAAAGTAAATCGGAAGATCGCTTAATACTTTAGTAAATCCTGTAAAAAAATGCAGTTAGTTGAAAGAAAAATTTTTTTAATCGTATCCAAATTATATAATATTTAAATTTAATTTAAAAATTTTTAATTGTTATTTTTGTTTAAATTAACAAATTAACAACAGCCTTCCTTATTTTTGACGCTAATCGTTTAGCCTTTGTAAAATGAGTAAGTACTAGAGATCCAAACAGTTCAAAGTGTGTCAGTTTTGAATTCACAGAATCTTCCAATTCTTTTTTCTGAAAAATTATGGCAACTTTTTCAAAGCTTAGTTTTAAGAGCGACAAAATGGTGTATTTATTATCTTCAGTAAGTCTTTTTTCCCCGTAGATTTCCAATCTCTGCATAAGGACATGAAAAATTTCAAATTTTTCACTTAAGTTTGTTATTCTTTCCCACAATCTATGCTCAAAAATCATATCCTTATTTGTAAAACAAACATAGGCAAGGTAAGAAAAATCTTCAATACTGGGCTGATCTGGTTCGATACTTATAAGATATTCTATGATGTCAAAATAATTTTTTAAATTGTTCGAAGAATCATTTTTCAATTTAATAATTTGTTTACATTCAATGGTAATTATTTTATTGTTCGTCATTTGTGAGTATCCGGTTTTGAAAATCCCGGCTTCTACTGCAATTTCAATTTCTTCCTTACTTCTATTACAAAGTATCATTGTTTGTAACAGTGTAAAACCATTTACACAAGTTCCCGTATCAGAGCAACATGTATTCAGTAATGTTGCGATTTGAGTAATCGGAAAATAGAATTTTATAGAATAATAAATTGCCAAACTAACAACATCATATTGATCCTTAATCGCACCAACGTACTCCATTATGTAGTCGTCTATTAATTCACTATCATTGAAAGTTGCTAACTGCAACAACTTTCTAACATGAACATCATTGACGTCCTCTGGGCAAATAAGGTGATTCATCTTTGTTATCCTAAAAAGAACGAATAAGATTAGATTCTACCTATATTGTTATATTTTTGTTCTACGTGAAGTGAGAGCGCTCTCACTAAATGGAGTTTTGATGCAAATTTTAATTTTTCTATTGTTAAATCAGTTTTATAATATTAGAAAAGATTAATAATAAAACAAAATTAAAATTAATAATAAAAAAACAAAATAATAATAAATTTCCTTTAAAAAAAATAAAAACAAAAAAAAATTCAAACAATAATTATACTTTCCATTACTAAGTTTCAATTATTAGTTAATTAATAGTATTAGCAATTAATTAGAATTAATTAGTAATTAGAAACAATAACTATCAATTCTTTTTTTCCAAATCATCAATTTTTGATTTTCATCTCTAATTTAGAATTTCTTTGCAATAAAAGATATTAAAAGTCCTTACGTGTAATTCTTGAAATCCATCGTGAAGTATTTTATTTCACTGTCATTTTTTGTATCCCATTCCGATTTTGGATTCGATGTTCCTTGCAATAAACATTTCTCCTGATGACTTTTCAGATATGGATTAATTACATCACTCATCGTTCGAACCAAGGTTCAAATACGAACTAGAAAAAAATTATCATAATTAAAAAAAATTGTAAATTATAATTCTAAATAAATTTTATAATAAAGTTTTAAAAAGTTATTGCAATAATTATAAATATTAATTTATTATATTAGAATTGTTATTACTTATTAACAGATACCTCTCTATTTAAAAGAGTTTTAACCATATTACATTATGTTAAATAAATTAAATTAAATTAATTTATTATTATAATTAATACCTTTAATAAATAAACAAATATTTTTAGTATATTTTTTAACATAAAAAAAATTATTTTACTTTAAAAAATTCTAATTTTTTATATATAAAAAAAAATTAAATTCATTAATCTACAAATACTTTTTCAATGAAAATCAAGATTTTATGTAACGAAATTTTAAAATAGGGTTTCTTTAGACAACAAAATAGTGTTAATCTTTTCATAAAATAATAAAAGTAAAAATATTTTCGGATAATGAAAACATGCCCTTAAGAGATAAAAGCGGAATAATTTAATTCAGTGCATTAAAATGGAAAAGCATTGTAAGTGAAGCAGATAAAATTGCGAGTTTCTTAAAAACCAGTTAAATAAAAAAATGATTAGTTACGAATTATAATAAAAAATTTCATAAAATAGAAATATTTACCACATCATTCTCACTGAAGGGACTGGCCTTGAAATTCTTCAGATATACACTTAAAACTTCTCTGAGGTAGAATCCAAAAGTCCTTAACGAAATGAATCGTCGATTGTCGTTCTGGAAATTATAAAAACAACATAAACCTAAAGTCTCGAGAAAATAATAAAAATCACTTAATCACTTACATCGCAACCAGTAAAACTTTCTTATTTTACCTTTAAAAATTAATTTATAAAATAAAAAGTAATTTCTTCGACTTAACAATTTTAGTTTTGTTTTAAAAAAATTATAAATAAACTAAGAAATAATATTAAAAAGGAGAAAATGTTTAAAATATTTTTCTATATATTACCCTTATTTCTAATTTGTGAATCCTTCCGGTGACAGCATTCAAAGTCAAAAGTATACATAAGCAACCAAAATATATATTCTTCTTGGACATTTTGGCAAAATTCTTTTTTTTTAATTTCACATTAATCACATTAAGAATTAATAAATATACAGAAAACACAAAAATTGTCTAGTCTTACGCGTCGCACTCGTCACTCTCGGAACGTGAAATAAAAACTGAACTAATAATCAAGAACTATAAAGTGACTAATAAAACTTTACTCGTTTTTCCTACGAAATTCAACACTTTTACGTGACATTAATTTATTTTCAAAAAGAATAACTGATTTTGTGCAGAAATACTAAAATAAAACACTGACTTTTTCCAACCCTTCTTGACAAAGAACCTATGATAATCCATTGTCAAAGTGTGTGTATTTGAAATTTTGAATTTAATCGATATTAGTACTTTGTCCACGATCCGTTAACGTCAAGTACTTTACGTAATCGTTGTGGCATCGAATAAATACAATTGGCCACTATTTGTGGTCTCTGCCTCAAGTCGCTCCACGATTGATAAACATGATCAATTAATGCAGCTCTTGTTCGATCTTGTCCAGATATCCAAGTTCGGGTCATGTAACCCCATATGTTTTCTATGGGGTTTAAATCAGGAGACTTGGTTGGATGCGGCATCAAAGTCAGGAAATCTTGGCGCTCAAACCACTGTAATGTTAATCGTGCCTCGTGAATGGAGCTCTTATCTTGAATCACTTTTATTTCTTCATGTTCGTTTGCCGTTAATATTTGACGAACTCTTGGTAGGAAATGGTTTTCAAGAATGTAGACGTACTCTGCGGCGTTCATTCTCCCATTCACTTGAACCACATCTCCAACACCACGAGTTGTTGTGAAACCCCAAAACATGCACGTTATGCGGCCACTGTGCTGTCTTGGGGCCACAAAGTGTTCATTCAACAGTTCACCACGTGGTCTCCAGACCAACAAACGGCCGTCTTCCGATGAACTGAAGGATTTTTCATCCATACAGACGACATTGTTCCAATAATCTTGATCTTCGCCGAAAAATTGTAATGCATATCCCACCCTCTCCTCCTTATGAAGAACACTTAGAGGGCATTTTTTCTCTGGTCTACAGGATGTAATTCCGATCTCAAGTAAGCGTCTCCTGATGGTTGAAGGAGAAATTTCTACCACGGTGTCGTTTGCTGTTTTTAGCTGATGTAAAGGCATTGATATTCCATATGTAGTCTCTCAATGAATCATCTTGTTCTGCAGTAGTCTTCCTGGGCCTATGATTTCCCGGTCGATGGTCGACTAATCCTGCAAAACCCACTTGCTGGTAAATTCGCACCCAATGGCGTACTGTTTTTTGTGAACACTGCACATTCGCAGCAATTTGTGCAAAAGTTTGTCCCGTTTCATGTAGCGTAACTATCTTGCTCCGAACTGCCACTGTAAACAATCATTTTAAAACATTTTTATATTCAATAAAAACTTTTTTAAAGTTGTCGCAGGTGAGAAAACAAAATGGAAATTAAATTTTTATGATTAGAGGAAAACAGTCATTTTAAATTTTTAACAAAAACCTCAAATATCAGGGAACACTTTTGAAAATATAATAAAAAATAGGCCTAATAGAAAAGTTACAAATTTGAATATCGAGGCTCGATTAAAGTCGACCTTAAAGTTTTAACACTGTAAGTATAGGTATAAAACAGAATCATATATGAACAGTCTACGAGACAAATTCCATGGGAATGCTTTTAATTTAACAAAAATTAAGGTTTTTAACTTTTGTCTTTTGTATTTGTGTATTTATATTTCAAAGGACGTATTCTTATCTTCAAAAAAATCTTTTTAATAATTAATCTGAATCGATTAAAAGTTGTGACACTTTTAAAGAATAAAAATGAGGCGGCACATTTTTTTCGAGAAGAGCAAACAGATAAATAAATGCGCTCGACAAGTAAAATACTTTATTTGAACAGTTAATTAAATTTTAAACAAAATAAGAAAACTTTTTTAATTAATTTGTTGATGCATAATCGAAAATATTTGTTAATAAAATTTAGCTTTGCCGCAGTGGCAACCCAAGCAGCACGGTATATCACCTGAATATTTCCATGATCTTCCAAAAATCAAAATGTCCGCCTCATAGTGATATTCCACTGTAAAATTGAAGGGATATTTCAGTTATTTTTAGGGAATATTCCTGTGATATATACCATTCATATTCCCTTAATATCACCGTGAGGCGGACATTTTGAGTTTCGTAGAAGATCTTGGAAATATTTCACGGCCCTAGCAGCACGTTATATTAAACGAATATCAAGGGAATATTCAAAAAAAGATTAGTAACATTCCAGTGGAATTTAATTTTTTTAATACCACCGTGCAATATTCCCTTAATATTACCGGGGAATATTACCATCAGGCGGACATTTTAATAAAGCTGTAATATTACTGTAATATTCCACTGGAATGTTACGAATCTTTTCTGGAATATTCCTTTGAAATTCAGGTGACATAACGTGCTGCTTGGAATTTTGTCCTCTCATTTTAGGTCTTTTAAAATTCTGTAATTTTCAAAATGTTGGAATTGAAAAAATTAAATTTTAATAAATTAAAAAAATTTTATTTATTTCTTTTCTCATGATAAAAACAGGAAAATTAAAATGTTTTGTATTATAAAACATTTTTCCATTATATTCATTATGAGGTAAATGTAATAAAAAAATTAGCAATAGATAAAAATGTTTTATTATTGATTACTTTTTTCCTTCGACAACGATTAAAGACAAAAACAAATATTGAGCTTCACCATGCAAATGTCAAATCTTTTTACTAAGAAATTGAATAATCATTTATAATAATAGTAAAATTAAATTTTTTAAAATTATTTCAGTCAGTGCAGAAACTTTAGAGCTTTTTAGAAATCAAAGTTATTTATATTATTTTCTTATTATAGGAAAGAGAAATATATATCTATATATATGTAATTATTTATTTATATTCACCAGACAAATTAGCAAAAGGATGTCTTTCTTCCATCTCTGGAAATGCTGAATTTGATAAATAATTTGCAAGACGATAAAATTAAAAATTGGTCGAAAATATTCGGAAATCTTTCTTGGTTAGGAAAAATTGTAAAAACAAAAATGAAACAAAAAACAGCAGATTTAAAAAAAATTGAAACTCGTATTGAAAACTCGTATTGAAGACTTTTTAAAGTCTTCTATTCTTTTAAATTTATTTTGTTTTGAAAAGTAAGAAAAAAAGTTTCAATCTTCCAAATCAAATAAGTGGTTTTTTTCTCATTTTGATTTAAAGAATTATTATGAAGCTGAAACTGGCACCCAGTTACCAGCACCCACTTAATTTTTATATGTAAGAAATATTTGAATTTATAATAATCGATTAAGTGCTTTATCGATATATCGTAGATATTCATAAATCGAAGTATAGGTGGCGTCTTGGGCGTACCCCTTTGTCTCAGTTCTCTTTGAGTTGCCTTTGTGCCATGTCATATTTATATACTGTTTTTTACTAATTTTTAATAAAGAGATAATTCGTGTTCAAATATTAATATTGTGTTGTATCATGCTTCCCATAATCCTCTGACAGGTTATGGGCCCAGTATACTATTGAAAACGGTAGACGTATTGATTTGTCGGATCGAACAGTGAACGCGTGCTTTTGTGTTAAAAAAATGGCCGCCATGCAAGGTTTTTCTAGCGTCGAGAAATTGACTAAACTGAATTACGAGATATGGAAAATACAAATGAAAAGTGTATTGGTGTATAATGAATTGTGGTCATACGTTGATGGCACAGATGCGAGACCGGAGGGGGATGCGGCTGATTGGGTCAAGAAAGATTCGAAAGCCTTGGCGTTGATAAATTTGTGTGTGTCCAGCAAGCAATTAAATCATGTGAAAAGGGCGACTACATCTTCGGAAGCATGGGACGCGTTGAAAAATGTTTTTGAATCTCGAGGTCCTGTGAGGAAAGCA